AGGAGAAGGCCTTCTCAGAAGGCCGCGGGACTTCTTAGAAGTCCGGGGGGCTTCTGAGACGTTTCCTTTGCCTATTTCGAACACAGACAGAACTTCTCAGAAGCCCTCTAAGAAGTCCAGAAACTTCTCAGACGCCTCGGAAGTCCCGCCCCTTCTCATTTCCCCCCCGCGCCCGCCGCCGACCTGAGCCCATCCTCCCCCAACGTTGCCCATGAGAAATGCCGCGGGAAGATGGGGCCCGGGGGCTCCAGCCATGCTTCTCCACCACGCGGCATCCTACAGGGCAGTTTTTAAAACATAGGATTTGTTTTTTAAAATATAAGATGTTTAATGAATTATTAATTTATGAATAAACTTATGCATGCACTCATCGTTGTCTTTAATACTACATCCCTGCATTCTTAATAATGATCCGCACGCGGAGCATGTATTAAAAACGGCACTGTACGTCGGATGTCTGGGGCCGCACCGCGCCGCGCGCGCGGCTGCGCCTAGCCCAGCCGGTGCCGGGGGAAAGGGTCGGGACTTCCAGGGACGCCGTCCTGAAACAATCAAGACATCGCATGTCTGGGGCGGCTCTTCTCAGAGACTAAAGGCCCCCTTCTGGACCTGAAAGGGCCCCTTGTGGGGTCCTGAAAGGCCTCATTTTCTGCAGCCCTCGCTGCCCCCCAACTTCTCGCCCCCCCCATCACGCGACGCCCAAGCGGCGCCGCGCATGGTCCGCGCCGGCACCCGCCGCGCGACGGCCGGCGACGCGCGCTGGCCGGCGCCCGCGCCGGCCGATGCCGCGCGGGTGGCGCGGGGGCCCAGCAGCGGAAGCCGCGGCGGCCCGCGCGACGGCGCGGGGCAAGCAGCCCCCTCGGCCGGGCGGCAGCGCGGAGCGCCATGTGAACGACGAAAGAAAACGGGTCTTATGTGAGAAGCCCATGCAGAGCCCATCGCGTTGAGAAAAAATCACGACGGCAGGTTTTTCACTATTTTCGGCCTCCGTGGGCCATCGCTGGGCCCTGGGACCGTCAAATAACAACTCGGGTCGAAAAATCGGCCCTGGGGAAGTGGTCCAGACCTCCAGCGCCCACGCATCGAACAAAGTAGAGCAGCCAAATGTCTGGGAGAGGAAACAGGCCTTTCGCGAGAAGACGCGACGGTGGCTCCCGCGGGGCCGCCAGCGTGGCTCGCCATCGTCGAGATGAGAGCGCGCACGCACGACCCGACGCGGGAAGCTCACGCGGGAATGTCGGCGCAGTGGAACCCGTTTTCTGCATCGCTCATGGCTCATGCCTTGAAGGAAGAAGACTACGCGACTACGCGACTATGCACACGCACCGATCCTGGCAAGGCCCATCCCGGACCTGGGATCGGAGCCTGGGGAAGCATGGGCAGAGGATCCAGTGGCAGGACTTCCGCGGACGACGACGACGACGACGACGACGACGACGACGACGACGACGACGACGCAGCAGGCACAGAGCAGGAACGAACGACGAGGCGGCAGGGGAGAGGACACCCAGGCCACCCGCGTCCATCCTCCGCCTCGCGCCCGGCGGCCCTCGTGCTACCGGGCTCACGCCCTCCCGCCCCCCGGCGCTGCGCTCTTCCGCGGTGCCGGGCCCCGGGGAGCTCGACCACCGCCGCGGAGCTGGCTCCTCCTGCCGAGCTGGCTTCTTGGATGGCCCTGGAGCCGGGAGGCGGCCTCCTCGAGGCCGACAGGAATGGAGGAACGGTCGTCGCGACCAGTGTTGCCCGACGCCATGGGTCTCTGAAGGGCTGCATACAAGGGATCTCCCACAAGAGACCCAGCTCTGAGACCCCTTGATCTCTGGTGTGGAAAGGTCACGCTCTCCGCAGCAGAGCCATCGAAACCTCAGAGACCCAGGGCACCCTGGAGGCAAGCAGGGTGCTTCTTGGCGTGGGCCCCCGCCTTTGTGGGCCCCGGAAACGGCAGGGCGTTTCCAAAAAAAATGTCTATTAAAAACGGAAACGGCAAAAAAACGTCGACAAGAAACGGCAAAAAAACGGCTCCAAGATCGGAACTGGACCCGGAACTGGTAAAAAAACAGCGACGGAACCGGTAAGAAAACGGCGTCGGAACCGGCGAAAAAACTGCAAAACGGAACCGGTAAAAAAACTGCCCTGTCGTTTCCAGGGCCTACTAAGGCCCCCACTGTATACTCCGACCCTGGGCCCAGGATGGTGCACGCGCCTGGTCCTCTTCGCCCGAAGGTCCGCCCGCGGCCGACCTCGCGTCGGGGCCCCGCCTCGGCTGCAGGCGCCAGGGCGGACCGCCATATGCCCCGGCGGTTCCACGGACGGGGTCCTGTGGGATGGGGCCCTGAGAACGCGTGGCCTCAAGAAGTGTAGGCTCAGCTCGAGGCTCTCTGTCCTCTTTCATGGAAGGGACCTTACTCGGGCTGCTTGGTGAGATGACCATGCCGTTCACTCGCACGATTGTCGGCAGACTTGCACTGCGTAATCCATACCACGAAGTTCCATGTCAAAGGCAGATTTGGCATCAACGACAACTTCATAATGGTACCCCCTACCATCATTCTCTCTGGACGTTGCTCGCCGCCTGCATGTGCAGTCAGCTGCGCGCCGAAAGCCCATCCGACATCAGGCACGGAACCGCCCGATAATCAGTAGAGGCCTCCCTGATGTCGGCGGCGAGCGAGGGGGGGAAATGAGAAGGAGAAGGCCTTCTCGGAAGGTTCGGAAGTTCCCTGGCCTTCTGAGAAGCTTTCTAAGCCTCCCCCGAAGATAAAAAAAAATTATGAGAAGGCGCGAGGGCCTCTGAGAAGTCCCGCCGCCTTATTAGAAGGCCTTCTCCTTCTCATTTCCCCCCTCGCTCGCCGCCGGTGATGGAATCCGAGCAGATGGGGTCGGAGGATCGCGCGGCGTCGCCGATACATGGGCGATGCATCGGAGAAGTCGGCGGTGCATCGGCGACGCTGGCGTGGAGAAGATCGGGCTCCATGCCGAGCCGCAGCGGCAGTGCCTCGGCACTGCGGCGCGAGCCTCCGACCCCATCCTGCTCGGACCCCGTGTGAGAGGCCTATAGCCCCAGACATGCGACGTCCTACTTTTTCAATACGCGGTCCCAGTGGGACGCACAGAGACATACTAATACTATATGTCCGCCTTGGAGGCGCGCGTCCGACCCGAACATTACAGTATACCCATCTTGTAGTACGTCGTTTCCCGAGCGGCGTGGCCAGAAAGCGCCCGCCACGACGCACATACTAGAAGACTTGTCGGCGCGCGCGTCGCCCTTGGGGGTCGACGCACGCCATTCTAGCATCGGTATGCTGGGGTCACGCCGCGGGAAGTCCCAGCCCGTTCCCCGGGCCCGGTGCCTCGTGCCGAGTCTCGTTCTGCGACGCTCCCGGGGCCCGGCGTGGGCCCCCCGCGGAGGCTGGAGGTGGCACTAGAGGAAAGAGAACTATGCACATGCACCGACCCTGACAACCCCCATCCTTGACCCAGGGTCGGTGCATATACCTTCCTGGCCAAGGCAAGAGGGCGTATGCACCGATCCTGGGCTCGGGATGGTCCTGGCCAGAATCGGTATATGTACATAGTTCTCTTTCCTCTAGGCACGAGGACCTCCCGCCGTGCCTGCTGCTGCGGCGCGAGCCTGAGCGGAGTCCTCTGGGGCCTCGTCCTTGGACCGCCGAGCCTCGGCCCGCGGCCGACCCCCGCGGCGGGGCCCCTCCGGGCAAGTGCCGGGGGCCCGCGGGCCTGCGCGGCGCCGGCGGCCTCAGGCGGCGCGGCCCGCGGAGCCCGCGGCCTGGCCGCGGCGGCCCCCCTGCAGCAGCTTGGAGGGCGCCGAGATGGACGTGGCATCGGGCCTCGTCGGGGGGGATCGGGAGAACGCGACCGACTGCCAACCAGACCGCCCCACCCTAGCCTGAAGACCCAAATCTCGGGTTGGGGGGGGGGGGTACGGGTCCCACGTGTGCTTTTTCAATGCTCCCCGACGCCCACCCCACTTGGAATGGAGGGCACATTGGGGCCCTCGGGTTGGGCTGGAGTGGTTTGGTGGGTGATGAGTACAGGTGGGGTAGGGACAGAGCTGGGGCTGGGAGGAAAATCGCCCTAAGCGGCTCCTGGAAGAAGGAGATGTGAGCATCCAGTTGGGTTGCGGTGCTGGCACGGCAGCGCGAGACATAAAGGCCACCAGTCAAGCGCGGGGAGACCTCCCTGCTGCTGCTGGCGGGCGGCCCCTCCATCTCCAGACCTCTACCGCCCAAGAACCTCCACGCTGCTCCCAGCTGGGCTGATGTCGGGCCTGTCCCCCTACAGGGGGATTTTGGGCGAATAATGAAAAATACTCAAAAAATACCCCAAACTTGTTAAAAATTATCAAAAAGTAGTCCCCCGACTATCTTAGGACTATGTTTTGACTTTTTTGGGTGTATTCTTTTTATTTTTCGTCGAAAATCCCCCTGTATGGGGGACAGGCCCGACATGAAGCTGGGCTCGCTCCCTATCCATAGCCCCACCCTGGGAGAGCCGGAGACCAAAAGGCCCCCTCGTGGCGCGAGAAAACGCGACGGGGAGTCTGGGGCCACCTGCGGCCTCCAGGGGCCCTTGCCAGACCCCGGGGCCGTCAAGCAGCGACTCGGGATGACGAGGGCGGTCCTCGGGAAGGGGTCCAGATAGGGACCTGGGGACATCCGAGGGTCTGATTTGTTCAATCCTGGCGCTCTTCATGAATTTCGGCCTACGGGGGCTGGTGTCGGGCGCAGGGACCACCAGGGGAAAAAGTGCCCCCAGGGAAGTGGTCGAGACCTCTGGGGCCGCGGGTTGACCCAATCGTGCCGTCGGATGTCTGAGGAGAGAGGCCGAGGATCGGGACGAGAGTCGAGGCATCCCCAGCCAGGAGGCCTTCGAGGGGCCCCCAGGGAGTTCAGAACCTGCGAGATGCGAGCGACGAAATGCCTCGGTGCTCCCTCCTCGGCACTCAAGCTCGATCGGGCGGCGATCGCGCCGGGCCAGGCCTGTAGTCCATGGAGGACGGCGGGGCGACGCCGGTGAGCTGCCCGCGGCCGCCCTGGCCGAGGTCGGTCAGGATTTGCTCGCGGAACTTCTGGGTCACGTTGGTGTAGTTGGTGACGTGGCTCCTCATCGGGGGAGCGCGCAGGTGAGGCAGCCAGGGGCAGGGGAGGGGTTGGAGGAGGATCGCTCCAAACGTCCAGCAGGAGATCGACTACAGGAACGATGCACCTCAAAGACTGTGTTCGACGAACCGACCAACTATATATGGAATCAGCGCAGATCTACAAACATTGTACAAATGTGTCGTAGATTCGACAAACAACTTAAGTGTGGGGTACATCAATTATGTTCTCGATCTCCTACTCGACCGATCGGGAGGACGTGCAGGTGGGGTAGTCAGGGGCAGGGGTGAGGTTGGAGGAAAATCGCTTTAAACGGCCCCTGGAGGAAGCAGGTGTGGCTGGTTTGGGGAACCCTGAACCCAAAAACGTTGCCACCTCTTGGGGGCGCATTGTTACTTTTGTCGGCTTCCGCCGGCGGAGGTGGCCTCGTTTTACTTCCGCGGGCTTCCGCCGCACTTCCGCCGCCTTCCGCCGAGGAAGAGACAGCCACTCCTCCGATCCTCAACGGCGAGGCCATTTCTGAAACGCCTCCAGTAAGCATCCAGCTGGGTTCGTCCACTTACCACCTTGGGATGACCCCCCCGTTACACTGATCGAGGCTGCGTGGCTCCTGATCGGAGGGGACATGGCAACTGATCGGGGGATGCACGGGTGGGGTAGCCAGGGGCAGGGGTGCGGTCGGAGAAGCATCGCTCCAAACGGCCCCTGGATTCGTTCCATGACCACCTTGGGAGAACCCCCGAGACATACAACGTTCTGATGTTTTCAATACACGGTCCCAGAAATCCCGACCCTTTCCCCAGGGCCAGTTTTCATCCTGAATCGTTGTTTGACTGTCCTGGGGCCCAGCGAGGGCCCCCAGAGGCCGAAAACGATACGAACCTCCCGTCGCTATTTTTCACAACGCGACCATGTTGAATTTTCTACGGAGCCCCCTCTGCCAAGGCCCCCGGCCTGGGCAGGAGGCGGGGCGGGGCGAGGAGGCAGGATCCCCGGCGAGCCTTGGCAAGAAAGGCAGCGGAAGGGCAGCGCCAGCGCCTGCGAGGGCAGGAGCGGCCAGCGAGGAGGACGAGGCGAGGAGGGCGGCGGCCAGGAGGGCGAGGAGGGCGAGGCGAGGAGAAGCAGGACGAGGCGAGGAGGCGCAGGGCGAGGCGACCGGGGCGGCGGAGGGCGGCGACGGGGCGAGGAGGGCGAGGGGGGCGGCAAAGAGGAAGTGCCAGGGCAGGGGGGGAGGACAAGGCGAGGAGGCGCCGGGAAGAGGAGGAGGGGAAGGGAAAGAGGATGGAAGGATGGAAGGATGGAAGGACAGAAGGAGGAGGAGGAGGAGGAGGAGGAGAGGAAGAGGGTGCGGCGGAGGGCGAGCGGAGGATGAGGGGGGAAGGAAGAGTTGTCCCGCTTCCCTGCAACAAAAACTCTCATCAGCATTGACACGTGAAGTTGGACATGTGCAAATCTCCCGGAATACCTCTGAGGAGGAGAATGAAGAAATAGGAGAGTATCTGGCGTGGCTGCGAGGGTCGGCCAATACAAGCAAAACGCGCACATCCCCTCTAGACTGCACCAGGCGGTCTGGCATCCCGTGCACTGGGGATCTGCCTCGTCCTCGTCATCCTCCTCCGCCCATCGTCCCAATCTTCGACTCCCCTCGTCTCTCCAATCGTCCCTCGTCTCTCCCCCCCTCCACCTTCCCCTTTTCCTTATCTCTCTCCTCTCGATCCCGTTATCCTCCCCCTGCTCCTCCTCCTCCTCCTCTTCCTCCTCCTCCTCCTCGTTGGACGCTGCACGGGCCTGAATCTGATGATCGTGACGTTCTTCCTCCTCCTCCTCCTCGACCCCTTCCTCCTCCTCGATCATCCACAGCACAAGAGCCAGACGCCTCCAGAGGCCCCCAAGGATACCTCCAGCGGCCGACAGCAAAACTCGGCAAAGGGGGCCCGTCCTGAACTGCATGAACCGGGCCTTGGCATCCTCCGACGATAGCGCCGTCTGCTCTTCCTTGTTGAAGAACTGGTTGTCGAAGTCCTGGGACAACAGGGCGCGAAGCCACGGACGGCCCCATGAGGAGGCTGGGGCCAATGGGGAGGGGGCTGAGAGGAGGAGGAGGGTAAGGACGAGGAGAGTGGGAGAAGAAGAGGAGGGAGGAAGAGGATCAGGGGAGGAGGAGATGGCCTCTGGAGAGGAAGACGACGAGGACGAGGGGGAAGAGGGAGATGAAGTGATGAGAGAGTAAGAGACGAGGGGGCAGAAGGAGCAAACCTGAGGACCCACTCAAGTTGATGATGCAACGCGGGGCTTGGGACATCCGTGCTCCACTCCACTGCTGACACGCATGCAACTCTTATTACTAAAAGAAGCAACGTACAACAACAAAAAAGGAAAG